GTTTCCCGAGCGATTTCAAAGACGGTCACAAGATCTCGCATTGTTGGAACCAGTATCAACGGAAGACCGACGTGAATGCTGTGCTCATTCGCCCTTTGACAGATACACGGCTAGTACGTGCGCTCTCTCCACTCCCGCTACACAGCTACACATACACGTGACCTCGCCAAATAAACTGTGGAAAAAGAAATTAAACAATCCAGTCGCGCGCGTGCAGCTGGCAGCTGGCAGCTGCAGTGGTGGTGGTGGGCGAACCAGTAACCACGAGCTCAGCCGCGGTATGATAAGTAAAACTTATATACATCCTCACCGGCATCCGATCGTAGTTGTTTCTTTTTTTCCTTTTATCCAGCGGTGAGGTTATTGTACGAGGATCGGAGCTTTTTCTTTTAAGATAGCCTTTTTTCATTGCGATGGCTGGCATCCGCGGTTGGGGGTTTGGTTTTGTTCTCCGTGTTTGCCGATGCAAGGTGTTTCTCGTCAATCGAGTTTGTTTGAAAATAGACATCTGAATCAGTATTCTCTGCAAGGCCGGGCCTCTGTTCGATCGAAGTTCGGCTCAGTGAAGGGTGAGACATGGGAGACTAGAGTAGACGCACCATATGTTCGCTGGTGTGTTTGAATCCCCCCGCTTGAGTGGGGTCTTAAGATGCTATGAAACACCGCATATATGTCAATAAAGGTGATGCCGTACCAGCAGGACAGAAGTTGCAGCAAGATGTTGTATCGTAGGGCTAGGGTTGTAGTTCTTGCGCCTGTGGGTCTTGAAAACACGAGCCTAGAAGCGACAGGAGCGGAGACTTGGGTCGGATTAAAGTATCCGATCCAATTATGCGTATCTGTATTAATGATTGGCTGGTCTTGAGCTTCTGGAGTTGAGAAGAACATGAAAGATGGTTCGCACTAGAAGCATGTTCGCGGTCTATCATTTAACCTGCCGCGGAGCTGGAACTAACCGTAAACGCATGTAACTAACGGGGTGGCTTTTAATTTATGGTTTTGGGAAATGGAGAGCTTGATTAATTGAACGCTAAACAGTGCGGGTGATGAGAACTGAACATGCACGTCAGTTCAGCCCTGGGGTGGGGGTTTACCAAGTGGAACTTCCTTGATTTCTTTTGTGGGGATAGTTTGTGGGATTTCAGATTTGATTAACTTTTCTGATTGAGCTCATAACCGGCCTTTCAATGTTAATAATCAGCAGCTGGAGCTGGACGTAGCCCCCTGTATTCACCCAAGAGCGTTAGTTTAGGTTAGGGACAAAAAGCCCGATATTATAATCTGTATTCAGAAATAAATATACTTCATACAGCTTGTGCGATGAATACATGTATTCATAAAATATCACTCGATGACGAGACATGTTGAAATCTTGGATATACATGTATATTAAGAATAGTGGGGAGGAGGATAAAGAGCAACAAATATACCCAAAATGCATGTCGATCCCGTACCCAGTGCTTGACAGATTATCCGTGTCCATGATCTATTCCCCAGTTTCAGTTTAGATGCGGACAAGAACTAATCAGCTTCTCCAATGGTATCCTGACAATAAAGAGCTCAAGTATGATTTTAGAGAATATTATTTATATATCCCACAAGTCAAATTCGTAAGTGTGTAGAAGATACCGTGTTGGCTTTATTGATACGTTCTAGTTGATTGGGTTGACTTAAGAACAAATTTATGGTGCATGATTGGTGCAAAGATCTCTAAATTACACGCCAAACTCATTTAACCAAAGATATGCCGCTACTTATCACTGCATGTTTTTAGCGCTATCTACTTCTAGTAATGAATGCCCAAGGTCATGCACTCCTCAAGTGTTAATGCCTAATTCCAACAACCAACTCTTATAATTACTGTATCTTTATGAAGGTGTATAATTATATGTAAGGTTTGGTTCGTTAAGTTTCAGAGGATCTATAGATCTATATGTTATATTTACACAATAAGGGCTGGTATTTGAAGTGGAAGCCCCAGTAATGGATACTGGTTGTGAGAAGCGAAATAGTACAAGACAAGAGATAATTATAGGTATTTTTTTTTATAAGAAATCATATAGGCAGTATTGTCCTAGTCTCCAATCTCTAGTACTCATCTGCGCCGTCGATCTCGATGACTAGAATGATTAGATTTGTGGTGGTATCAGTCGTACTGTTCTAAAGATGTGATGATGTGATGGTTGTGCTAGTACTAATGCACAGGGTTAGGGTTCCCGCTATTCGGAGACTTGGCGAGCATTTACAACCTCCTCTTGGCGGTGTGTCTTGAACGACGAAGCATCCGATAGCGAATATACCCCCCACATATCTCCACTCAATTCATATCAACCACAATGTTCGCCGTCCAAAGCAGGACCCTCGCCTGCGCACCCCGAGCTCTGCTCGCCAAACGTACCTTTGCATCCCACTCCGGCAAAGGACCGGTTCCGGCGGGCGAGACACACCACCATGACGATCATCACCATCACCCAGCTGCTGAAGAAAGTGCGTCTTAAACTTCTATCTTCTCACCTCACCCGGTTGGTCAGGCGCTGATGGACAGATTATGAATCTAGCCTTCGGTAAGGGTTTCTACCTCTCGATCGCAGCTGTCGTGGGCTGCCTGGCCTTCTACAAACTAGAACAGTCCACCTCCGGCGCCAAGGGTGCTCCTTTGACCCGAGCGATCGAGTACTACAGTGATCTGAGTAAGGATTGGGAGGAGCGAAACATTAGACACACATCGATGGTCGAGCGTGCTGCTGCGGACAGGAGTTTGTTCGAGGACTCAACACCCAGCAAGACCGTCAATCTGAGGTTCCCAGAGTATGTTTGTTCCGTTCTCATCAAATGGGAGATATAGTTGAGCTTCCGGTGGATTGAGACACTAATTTTCTTATTATAGGCGCTTCAATACTGGATCTCCATACATGAACGAAATCGGTTGGCAGGGTAATGATCTCTTGGCCTTGAAGGCTCACTATGAGTCTCAAAGAAAGTAGAGCGAGAAGTGTAGATATGCAACACAACATAGAGAATCAAGCGCAGAGATGGAAAACTATATCTTTGTCTTGCGCTTAAAAACGTCGCCTTGACAAGTAACAAAAGCCAAGCATTCTTATTCAATTGCTTTTAAATCCATCATAAAGTACATAGGCCCAAGGAGATATAAAAGTAAAGGTCTTTAGTTCTTGACACTCTTAGTTTTTGACTTCAGTGCAATAGCTTCCGGGGATTTGGCCGCAAGTGACGGAATGGAGTCTTGTAAGAAGGCCTTGAATGGCTTCGCTACAAAGTAACCCTTTTCGTCGAACCAGTTTGTAAATGAGCTCTTTTCCTCCACGGTATGCGGTCCAGATGTCCCAGGAAGAACTGAAGTGATCTTCATGTGGTAAATTGGCGAGTGTTTCTCGGTATGAGTCGAGATAGTGATCTAATAGTATTCTCCATTAGTGAACAGTTCTGGGTGAGCACGCTTCGGGAACAGGCAGAACCGACCTTAACACCATCTTTCTCACCGACGTATATCGTGCCACCCTCAACTAGCCATATCCAAAAGGTCAAAGCTGTATTGAGAATGAAATACGCAATAACTGCATAGAGCGTCCCGCCCTTTACTGCCTCGAATCCGGCAGTCCAATCATAGTAGAAGGTAACACCCGCGATGGCACACGCGGCGAATCCAATAACGAGACGGACGTCTGTCAGAGTGTGGTTTTGTTTATACCCAAGGGATTTAAGATACTGTACGCTAGTTAGTTTGTCGGTCCATTATATTGCCGGGCTCATAAATGGGTTGCAAACAGGAGCTATCATGTCATCCGTGGTATTTTTGAGCGCTGGGTGCAAGTTCAGTGTTAGTATGAGGATGCGTCAAGCTTAGTTAAGGATAGTGATGTACCTGGAAGCGCATTGATATTGACCTTTGGTACTGTCTCCATATTCGCAGATGTTATTTCCGAATTTTTTCTTTGTTGCGGATGCTCAGATCGTTAGTGAGATTCAAGGATCGATGTTGATGTTGAAGCTGTATTTACTAAAGCGTGTCCTCTCTGCGCCGCCAAGATGCCTGTGTGCGCCTTACTCAAAACGTGATGAGGCTTATTCAAAGTTGTACATATCAACCCTAACCCTTTTGGTATCTCCAAGTTAAATTTCCCAACCTGGCAGTTCTTCTTTTATACAAGCTTGTGCTATAGCTATTCGAGTGAGACATGGTGACCAAACCCCGCCTTTACTCACCTACACATTTGATAGGGCCAATCAAAATTTCAGAATCTCAGAATTTTAGCTAAGTCTAGAGGTTTTCTATACTAATCGTTTGCTGCCATGACGCACCTGGAAGAGCTGAGATTTCCTGGATGACATAGGGGTCCTGCCATGGAAATTTAGAATCCTGTTACATACCCATATGGTTATTACTTGCCTTGAAATAAAACCTGTCGTAGATCATGCAAGCCGGCGGCCCATAGCCGCTGACGTGGCGATATATGCGCCTAGGCTGCCACTACTATCCGCTACTGTATTTATTACAGAGATTTGTGTTTCGTTTTAATACTTTCGAACACAAACCCAGGGATACCTTTGAACATATTGCAGAATCCATACTACATCTGCGCCCGATGGCCGAGGTTATTGGGCTTGTTTCCGGCATCGTCGCTTTAATTCAACTGGCAGGCAAATTGACATCGATTAGCTACAGCTATGCCTGCGGGGTAAAGCGAGCATCAAAGGATCTCGGAGATCTCATAGACGAACTCGGCTCTTTGAGTAAAGTCTTACTTTCCTTGCGGAGTCACCTGGAAAGAGTCAAAACAACATCATCAATTTCAGCGCTGCAGGGACTGAATGACGCTGATGGGCCGCTAAAGGTATGTGGTCGAGAGCTGGAAGAGCTTATATCACAAGTAGAACCTCGAAATGGTTGGAAGGGTATGGTTGATAGTATCAAATGGCCTTTGAAAGAGAAAGACACTCTTCAATTAATTTCTAGGATAGAGAGACATAAAGGTCTCATTATGTTTTCATTGGCGGCAGACCAGATGTAAGCCAATCTAGATCTCATGGGAAAGGATGAGCCACTTTACGAGAGTATTACTGAATTTATCCCTAGGTCTACGTCGAGGGAGATCGAAAAGCATGTTCAAGATATCCAGATTGATATTAAAGAGGTCCGAGAAGATATCTTGACCGAATTTGCAGCCCAGGATGCGTGGAGACACAAGTGGGATCTCGTAGCATCTAAATGCATACAGTTTGAAGATTGCAATACATGTAAGTAAAATTTACCCGCCACATATGAGATACTGTCGGTGACTGACCAAGTGCGTAAAATATAAAAGCCGAGAAACGTGCAACTGTACTCAATTGGGTTTGCTCAGAGAATGTCGACACAAAACACAACGATGTCAGCAATAGGATGCAGGAAGGAACCGGCCAATGGCTTCTAAGAGAACCAAAATTTCAAGAATGGTATACAGGAAGTTTGCACACAAAGATATTGTGGGGTTATGGCATTCGTACGTATTGACTATAAACAACATGCACTTGAAGAGTATGGGGAGAATATACTGACAAGGACTTTTTACCATAGCCGGGGCTGGGAAGACATTCATAAGGTGACTAAATACACGCCTCTGATTATCTGATATAGTTCACCACTGACTTAGGCGCTATGTTATAAGCGCTGCTGTGTTCAATCATCTTGAGGAACAATCATCGGCACTGAACTACGGAATGGCACATATATACTTCGATTATAAAGAAAGGGAACAGCAAAGGCCGGGAAATGTTGTTTCCAGCTTAGTCAAGCAATTCGCTCGTAGAATACCATACCTTCCCGCGGTCCTTGAAGAGATCCATGGTAAATTCAAGAATCATCTAAAGGGGCCCACTTTGGAGGAACTCTACCCGGTTCTTATTACAATTACGAGATTATTCTATCGTTCATACATCATCTTTGACGCCCTCGACGAGTGTGATGAGAAGCAGAGGAAAGGTCTCCTTCCTTTACTGCTTCGTATGGAGAAAGACGGTATCAACCTCTTTTTAACGAGTCGACCACATCCAGAGGACATTCAAGAGTATTTTGCCAATGGAAGCTTGAGAATTGAGATTTCTGCGCACGAAGAGGATATTCGGCGATATGTTGAAAATAGAATTAAAGAGAATTCTCGAGCGAAAAGACTTATTAAACAAGGGAAATGTCAAGAGAGAATCGTTACTGGCCTGTTGGATTGCGCCAAAGGAATGTAAGTGATAAGGCTTTGACTTAAACACCCTTGTTGTTTTACTAACTAGAGGGGTGCAGGTTTTTGCTTGTTCACTTCCATATCGAGTTTCTTTGCCAGCAGACCACCGCAAAGAAGATACTCTTAGAGCTTGGAAGGATAAAAGACTCTTCCTCTCGAGGCCTCGATCCTACGTATGATCGCGCCATGGAGAACCTCCACGGACAGGCCAAATGCTGTGAAGAGATGGCCTTGAAGATCCTTCTGTGGCTTGTTAAAGCCAGAAGAACGCTTACGGTTGACGAGATCAGAGTAGCTATATCCATAGAGGATGATAGATATGAGCTTGATGAGCTTGATTTACCGGATATAGCAACCTTATTAGATATCTGCGCTGGCCTTGTAATAATCGACGAAGACACAAACACCATTCGATTGGCCCATTATACCGTCCAAGAATATCTTCTGAAGAAAAATGTCTTTCAAGAAGATGCAGATTTATATCTCGCCAAGACTTGCGCAACTTATCTGTTATTCGACGCATTCACCACTTGGAGCTCTTGCGAAACCTATCGTGACGCGGTGGAACGGCTCGAAACACACCCGTTCCAGGCCTACGCAGTATCTCATTGCTTTCACCATCTCAAGGCATGCCCTGAAGAGTACACAGTGGATGTTGTTCTTAAATTTCTAAAACACGATTGCGCCCGTCGAGCTTATCTTCAATTGTACGAGATTGTCCGGGACAATATACCCGCTGTTTCACAATATTGGGGCTGGATTGATCTAATTCAAAGTCCATTGCACGTAGCATGTATTCTGGGACATCGATTAGCGGCCTTGCAGTTGATAAATTCAGGTGCTGATATTTCCGCTCTTGATTCTTGGGGCCGTACTGCACTCCATAAAGCGGCTCGCGGAGGGCATGGGGATGTTATTGACTTATTGCTTGAAAATGGAGTCGACGTATCTTGTCAAGACTATCACGCTAGAACAGCTCTGCATACTGCAGCATCTCAAGGCCATTCTAAAGCAGTTTTGCGGCTGATCAAAGGAGGTGCTAGTGTTTTGACACCGGATCATTGGGGTTGGACGCCGATATACATGGCGGCCTGCAAAGGAGATGTGGAAATGGTCCTTTTGTTGATCGCTCACGGAGCCGATCTTAATGTTCATGACCTTGAGGGACAAACCCTTCTTCACAAAGCGGCATATAATGGTCATTTGGAAGTAGTTAGGGCATTAATCGAGAGAGGTGTGCCCATATTGGACCAAAGCAGAGCTGAATGGACAGCACTGCATTACGCAGCGATACAAGGGCACCAGACGGTGACCAAGCTTTTGCTCGAGAAAGGGGCCGATCACTCTACCCAAGACGAAGACGGTCAAACAGCGTTGCATAAGGCGGTGATTTCCGGTAGCGAAGCAACTGTTCGACTGTTGCTCGAAAAGGGTGCTAGCCCCTCTGTTCAAGATCAGGATGGAGAAACAGCCCTTCACGAGGTCGCAGAAGATGGGGGTGAAGTAGTTGGCATCTTACGTCTTCTCCTTGAAAAGGGAGCTGATGTATCTGTCCAGGATAGAAAGGGCGAAACAGCGCTACACAGGGCTGTAAATCATCGAAACCTAATCGCCGCTCGGTTGTTGGTCGATGGAGGTGCGTCTGTCTCAACGCAGTCTCACATTGGATGGACAGCATTGCACCTGGCAGCGTCCACAGGGTCGACAGATATGATGCAGTTATTATTGAACTGTGGCGCGGACTATTCGAGATGCGACAACGAGGGACGGACAGCGCTACATATAGCCGTGCTTCGATGTCACTGCGATGTTGTCCGTCTACTGCTTAAGACGGGGGCTGCACCCGGAATTAGAGATGTAAAAGGAGAAACCCCACTACACATTGCAGTGACCCAGGAAAGCAAAAATATCGTCGAGTTACTTCTTGGGGTATCCCCTATTAGGCTCGTGAACAAAAATGGAGAGTCCGTACTGGATAAGGTGAAGGCCAAAGATATTTTTAAGATGGTTGTTGCTGAGGTCGAAAGGCGTGCCATGAGAAGATACACATTTAGGACTCGGGTTTGTTAACGGATGTAACCCATTATTGTACAATATTTTCCCTTCTGTTAACCATGGTTGGTTATTTCGCTGTACGCTTTTTGGGAGAGGATTTAGAAATAATCAATTTTTGTAAACGTCCCCATTCCGTTTATGAGAGTCATGAAATATCACTCGTTGCTGTCTGACGGTTGAAGAGAGCAGGGATGACTTGGACTAGTCCTTCTCCAGGGTCGGACTTTTCTGAAAGAAGAACAGAAATTAGTATAGACAAGACACTGACTGCTTTAACTTGCCATCGTTTTCTGGTAATGAGTTAATGAGTCGTTGAAACGGATGGTCATGTTTGATACCCGACGAAGCTTGAATCGACAATACTATATGCAGGCTATGTTAGCTGTGGATTCCAAAGCAAGTCAGATTAGAGTGGTGCTTTCAAGAGCTTGATGGGAGGATTGAAGTGTGTTGCTAGATAAAGCGGCGAAGTTTGTTTGTGACGACATGTTGTGGTGATGATTGTTGTTGGAGGTTGGTAGCATGGGGAAGGGAAAGCCGATGACAATGACGGCATTTAGCTCTACCACTTTTGGGTTTAAAGTTTAACTACATTTTCGAGTCGCAAGTCGGTGAAAATAATCTCGTTTAGCTGAACGGTCCATAAATGGCCGAGCCATCAATTGTTGATGCCCAATAGCTGTAATATATAAACAGAAATCACGAGTCATATGATTTCTCGAGATACAAAATGTATATGTATATATATATAATCGTTCTTACTTATATCTACTATACTATAAAAGAATATGGTCTGAAAAAGCTTCGCTAATAGGTATAAACCGGACTAATCCTACATCCCGCCCTGACAATGGGGGAGACCAATTGGCCAAATAATGAGCGAGAAGCTAAGATAGTTCAATTTGCGATTGTAGGCCGGCCAGAGAGAGCTCTGATCGATATCACTAGGCCCTCAGGCCACCCAATAAGCTCAAAAAAAAAAAACAACCCAAAAATGGGCAATAAATTTACAAAAAGTGATGCTGTGGCCATATACCCTTCGCGGGGGTATCTACCCAATACAGTACTGTAATATAATGGGCTACATTTCCCGGTATATAATATACACCCCACAGACACTCCCACCCCTGGGATTGAACCATGACCTACTGATGGTCATGGGGACTCAACCCACTCGGTGTTCATGAAAGACGAGCTGTCTACCCCTAGACTACACTCGCCCACACAATTTTTCAGTGCGCCGGAAGTAATATTTAAGGGAGGGAGGGCAAAGTGAGCTAGGGGGACACCTAACCCTGCAATCACAATCCACCACGACGTACATCATGAGCCACTGGCCACCCACTTGTGTATATATATAAGTGCATACATTGTATGGTGAGCGCGGGAGAGGACGAACTCATGTTTCCACCGCATCATTCCCCGAGGCTCTAACCACATGCTCCATCTGCTCGGAGCCCGCCTCCATAACGCCATCTCCCCCTTTCACCGCACCACTTTCCAGCCAAGCATCCCTCCGCCTCTTACGGGAAATCAATCTCAGACGCTCAGATTCGTCTTGCGTGAGATTTATCTAAGTTTTGGAGACCGGTTAATGAGCTCATTCATATATCATCAACAACGGAGCTGGGCCCAGGGTCTTACATAGATCTCAATCCCAATAGCATGCACAACTATCGCCATCCACAAACTGCCCCCAAAAGACAGCCGAAAACAGCTCCCTATATTCTCCTCTTCCTCAAAGTGCGCCGGCACAACCACGCTGCTGCTCAGGTTCCCACATGTCGGATACACATCCGTGACCACCCTCTGAGTCGCAGTGAAAACGTCCGCGAGCTGCTCACACTTCCATATCTGCATACATGGTAAAACTCTTAGCAACCAATCAACCCATGCCCAGCTCACCGATCCATCTTCTGTCTTACATTCTCATATTTGCGGTTCCACCCAATAACCACCGCACCAGCAATCAGAAACGGCCTACTCGTAATAATGCTCGACATGTACCCCATGCACCTCAGAACCCACTCACGGTGCCGGTGCAGCCGCAGCACCCTCGCATTATACCAGCTCATTGCCGCCGCACCGAGCGTTATGGCGCTGAGGAACGCGCAGCTTGTCTGCGTCGCAAAGTCACCACCGAGAGCTTCTCGCCCTAGTATCATGCCGCTGACACAGCTAAGCGGCAACAGCAGAAGTAGAATTATGGTGCCGCTGAGGCGGTGGAGACCGGGGCTTTTCTGCTGCAGGGTGGGCACAAATTGGAATATCGAGAGGAGCCCGCACGCTATATATGGTTAGTCCAGCATCTTGGTGTGGGCATGCGAGGGGTGCCCGTACGCACGATGGAGACGATGTGGAGCATCATCCCGAACCGCTGGAGGGGGATGTTGTTCATTACCCAGCGCTCGCCGGTCGTATACTTGATCTGGATGTAGGCGTCGAAATTTGAGTATGCCCGTGCACGGTCCAGGACAAACATGGCCATTATACTGCCTGTTACCAGCCCTGTTGTGGAGAAGGTCAGTAATATATGCATTGGGATTCGACGGGTTTATATACATAGGACCATATTATGGTATTTGTTGAATCCAAGACGGCGCTGGAGTGTTACATAGAGTCGTCTATTGGGGGCCTCAGGCGCCATCTTCAATATCAAGGGTGGTCTTGGTTCTCTCTATACTACAAAGCGATAGAAGTGGGAGTAACGACTCATTTTATCTACTAGAAAAAGCAACAACAGCCTATTCTGCAGGGCCATGCATGCATGGAGGCGGTATATAGGTATAGGCATTAGTAAACTATATACATACTCTACCTATCAACACCCGTCAGAAACGAGTCAAAGTTCTTCTATGTATCTATTATGTGACTTTACTTTTTTTTAGGCTGAGTTCCTTGGCTGAAGTCACCTGCAGCACCTTCAGGATACCCAGCTGACACCTCTAAGGTCCTGGTTCTGCAGACTAAGAGTAAAATGAGGCGAATGGAAACGATCGCGGTGCTGAGCAGGGATGAAAATGATAGATACATAAATGAATGATGAAAGGAAAAATGAAAAGGAAATAAAAGAAAGAAAAAAGCTTTAAGCTTGCTTTGGGATTCCTGTAACAAATGACGACAAGAATGTTCCTAGAGAGCCGTCGGAATCGTAGGAGTTTCGTAGGAGATAGGACGCAACCGTTAGAAAGTCGACGCCCGCAAGCGGGCCACACAATCTTAATTTAGTGATAACCAGCGCTTGTAACTCTTTCAACCCAAGCTTATCTGCGAGACAATAGATCTTTGCATGCCTCAACGCTGCTGAAGCAACATCCTCATTTTTAGGTCTAGAACCATATATGCAAGGAAGGATCTGAATGTTCGTCTCCACGTTATGAGAGACGCGATTAGGATTAGAGTCTGCAACTCTTTTTATCGTCTTGGTCAAGTCCAGCCTGGGTGCATACTCTTCACTGTAGAGATATTCAAGAACTGACGAGAATATCTCTGGTTCGTCGTCAGGAAGCAGAACCTCGCGGGTGGTGGCCTCTTTAAACCCGCCATTCAGGGCTCTTTCGAAAAAGGCCGACTTTGAAAGAATACCTTCGTGTGCGTAGAATGTTTGCTTACTGCCAACAACGACCTTAACTATGGCGCTCTGGAAGTGTCTATTTCATCCCAATTCGTGAGTTTATGAAGGGATCAGGTTTCTAATAAGGGTGACAAACGTTTGATAGATGCTAGCATTGGTAAATAGTCCACCACATTTAAGGTTTGCCTCGTCCGCAATTGCTTTTGTATCGCCCGCGCCCATCTCCTGCTTATAATAGCAGCAAGCTACTCACACACGAATATGGTAGAGGACCTGGTAAGAAGGACGGAGGAGCTAAGAAACCACGACCGTATGGTTTGTACTGTATGCGATATGCGTGTTGGTTGTGGTCCGGAGGGTGGGTTGTAAAATCGAGAGCTAGAGACGTTTGTTGAATGTAGGTTATATAGAGTAAGTGGGGTATTGGATGCCTAATATTCGCGTATGCGCAAGGAACCAATCAAACATGGCCTTGGCATTCATTTGGTCTCCGCCAATAAGTGGACTGATTTTAGTCCATATACCGGAGTTATGACCCGAAGAGACGGCTTCCCCGGAGTTCTTCGTTATTCACAGAATATCACTCGGTGCAGAACCCGTCCGTAATCCCAAACATCGTAGTCGCAGGCGGACACGAGCTTCCTACCCGGGGGAGGTGGCGGTGCTGAGCTGTGGGGAATGGAACGAGGTGAGAGGACGAGATGATATACATATTAATTATTCCGATCGTAATCCAGTGCGCGATGGCGACTAGAAGAAGAAGTATCCCGCAACCTGGTACTGAGTAGCGTACGTACTAATCACCGTACTGGTATTCGATCGCCTCGGTGGGGAAACGTTGTTTGTGGCAAGTCATCGACGCGGTTATTGTTGAAAATCACTTTGTTGTCAACGTCTCATTATTCTGTATTTCGGATGTGGCTTCAAATTACCTGTACTTTTGTCTTTAGGACAAGTTGTTCTCTCAACTGTAACTATAAGAGGGGGAGAAGCTCCCCACAGCTTCTTTTGTTGTAACTCATCAGGTCTTGCACGCGTGCGTGTATACTTTATATTTACTCATCGGCTCTCTTCTGCCTAAAGGTCTCTCAATGAAACAAAGTACATCTTATCACATTAAAGATACATCAGAATACATATTACATGGATGTACTTATATAAGTGAAGTCTATACTCTGTGCCTAGTCCCGAATAGGAGCTATATCTAATAAGTATATAGATATACCGATATGCAATGTGTTATTTAAAGGTTTTGATTGGCCAGGTTTGAGGGGTTTTCTTTTTCTCTATCAAATATGTTTGTCAGTAAGTAGATATTCTATCAAATATGTTGGAGTTAGTAGATATTCTATCAAATATGTTTGAGTCAGCCAGTAGATATTGGTTCCAACATACCTTGAGTCAACCAAATAGTATATCAGATATGTGCACAGGGCATCTTGGGGTTTCAGTGATCTTAAGCGTTGGTAAACTGATATTGTTTGAGCCATAACAGTTCCTACTCCGGCCAAAGGCCGGAAAATGCTTGTGTATATATATAATGATAGAAGAACTCTAGATCTGCTGCCATCATTCGCCCTAGCTTAGCAACACATCTTACCGAGAAAAACAACCGCTATCAATTGGGTGGGGATTACTACATGTAGGTATCCTGGGCTGATTTTGCCTTGATAGGTCTCGTGGAGGGTTGTTGTCAGTTTTCGGAGATCTACCTGGATCATGGCCCATCACTCGCTACCACATACCACACTCCGGAAAAGTTATATCAACAAAAGTCCAAAACCAATTGCCCGCAGATCGCTAACTGAACTATATACCTTAAATACATACAAGGCCACATCTACAGCCTCATCTCGACTCCCTCCCCCTCCCCCTCTCTATCCCACCCCTCCTCCCCCTCCACCAACAACCTCGCCCCCTCCCCACCCCCACCACCCAACCTCCCCGCCGCCTCCCCCTCCTCCTCCCCATTCAAAACCTCAAACACATCCTTCTTCGTCAGAAGCCCCTGCAGCACCCCATGCCGCGCAAACACAACATACCTCAACCCCAACTTCTGGAACAGCCCCGCCACCAGCAACAGACTCGCCCCCGGCGCCAGCGTGATCGGCGTTGCGTCCATCCAAGCCCTCAAATCCACCACCCCGGCCTCCCCGCGCACCCTCGGCGTCATCGGGAACGGCGACCCCGCCACCGCCGCCGGCGAGCTAAAAATACACTCCGTGTCGTCGCTCGCGGCGCCCCCGCGCCGCGCCTGGTCCAGCGCAAACCGCAGCTCCGAGCGCGAGATGTAGCCGACGAGCACGGCGTCGCGCGTATCGGTGACGACCGGGAAGCCCTTGTACTGCTGCGTCGCGAGCAGGGCGTCGAGTGTCGCGAGCGTGTTGCCCTGCTCGGTGATGACGATGAGGTCCTCGGTGCGCGTCATGACCTCGCTGACAGCCACGTCGGGCATGGGGTCCTCGCGGTTGTCGAGGAACGGGTACTGCTTGAAGCGGATCCACGACTCGTAGATGCCGCGCTTGCCGAAGGCGTCGCCGACCCACTTGGACAGCATCACGGCGATCATGATGGGGAGCACGTAGGTGAGTGCGCCGGTGAGCTCGAACATGATGACGACGATGGACACGGTCATGCGTGTGACGCCGCCGAGGGCGGAGGCTGCGCCGATGATGGCGAAGACGCCGGGCGTGACGCATTCGACGTCGGGTGTGCAGGAGCTGAAGAGCCAGGAGGTCGGGTGCGTGCGCTGGAAGGCCTGCAGCACCATGCCCATGCTGCGGCCGTAGAGCGCGCCGATGGCCATGCTGGGGAGGATGATGCCCGCGGGGACCTGCAGGCCGAAGGTGGCGGAGGCGAGGAGGATGCCGAGCACGGAGGAGAGCAGCAGCAGGATGATGGGCGGGGCCGTCTTGTCGACGCAGAGGCCGAGCGGGTCTTCGGTGGTCTTTGAGCACTCCTGGAACAGGTCTGCGACGAGCGCAGAGGGCGACGGCCGCATGAAGATGATGGGGAAGTTGATGAGCGCCGTGACGAGCGCCACGACGGCCACCTCTGTGATGGGGTACTGCCGGATGATGGTGGTCTTGCGGTACTGCGCGATGCGCATGTTGAGGCGGATGAAGAAGGCGCCGTAGAGCCCGCCGATCACGCCCAGCACCGCGAACGGGAGGATCTCAAAGTCGTGCCAGCCACGCGTGTACTTGACCTGGTACAGCACGAGCTTGCCCGTGCGGAACGGGTTCATGAACTGCAGCGTGACGGCCGCAACCATGGCGGACACGAACGACTGCCACATGGCCTTGTCGGGGAAGTAGTAGGAGAGCTGCTCGAGCGAGAAGAGAACCCCGCCAATGGGCGAGCCGAACGCGACGGAGATGCCGGCGGCGGAGGCGGCGGAGAGGACTTCGCGCTTGCGCGCCTCGTTCTTGGACAGCGAGGGGAACGGCTTCATGAGGATGTTGGCGCAGCAGCAGGCCACGTGCACGAGGGGGCCCTCCTTCCCCAGCCAGAGGCCGGAGGCGACGGCGAGACACTGGCGGCAGATGTTAGAAACGGGTGAGTGAGAATGTGCGATGCAGCTATATAGACATGTAGTAGGTACTAGGTACTAGGTACTACTAACCAGGCCGAGTGACTTTATGATGAGTGTCTGGGCGCCCATGAAGCGGCGGATCACGAAGCCGCCTAGCACGGTCTTGATCTCGGGGATGCCGGAGTGCTTTGCGTAGATGGCGTAGGCGCCGACGAGGACGCTGGCGGTGACGGCGAAGAGGACCTGTGTGTAGAGTAGCCGTGTTAGCACAGTGCGAGAAGTAGCTGAAGAGAGAGAGGTGCACCCACGGAAAAGACGATGTAGAAGAAATACTCCACGACATACCCGCTCCTCGCGGCGCCCACCGCCGCCCGCCACGGCACCCACTCTCTACACGTCTCCCCCGCTGCCACACACACCCATCAGCCCCGCCCTTCACCCTTCACCCTCCGCCCTTCACCCTTCGCCCTTCACCCTTCACCCTTCACCCTTCACCCTTCACCCAAAAAACAAAAACAAAAAACAAAAAAAAGAACAAGAACACCTACCCTCAAGCCCCAAACAGCAAAACCTCCTACTGAGATAAAACGCGGTGCCACAATACCCATGCTTCAAATCGCCCAACCAGTTTGTGGCAATATCGATCCCCGCGGCGATCAGCCCCGCCGCGACACCCGTGCACAGCAGCACAACCCACACCTGGCTCGCGTCCAGCAGCCGCCCCAGACCCGACAGCGACCGCGTGCGGAGGCGCTCCTTGGCGTACTCGAAGATCCAGTCGATGGCCGTGAGGTCGTCGTAGACGCGCCGCCCGGGCGTGTCGGCGTGCCATGGGTCGACGTCGTCCGAGGGGAAGGAGGGGGAGGGGGAGGGGGCGGGGGCGGGGTGTGAGGGCGTGTGCGTGGGGGGGAAGAGGCTGTAGCGCGAGGGGGGGGGGCGGCGCTTGAAGGATAGCCTGGGCGGGTGTTAGCTACTTTGAAGAGCTACGGGAGCTACGGGAGCTACGGGAGCTACGGGAGCTACGGGAGCTGCCGGCGCTGCGGGTGAGGCTGGGAGAGAAGGTGCGGTGGGGGAGAGAGGGGGGAACATACCCGCTGCCAGAGTCTAGATAGCTCGCGCGCACGGGATCGCCGGCGTCGGGGTCAGGGTCAGGGTCAGGGTCAGGGTCGGGCGGCGTGGAGGTGCGCGAGGAGGTGGTGGTCGAGGAGGCGAAGCTGACGAGCGGTGGGGCGGCGGCGGGGGCCATTGCGCGGTGGGGGGAGGGGACGGGCGAGAGGTTGTGGTGGTGGTGGTGGTGGTGGTGGGGGATGGCGGGGGATGGTCTGTGCTGTGGAGCTGTGGGAGCGTTGGGCTGAGAGAGTGTGTGGGTTGGGTGCCGGTGAGCGGTGGCTGGTGGTTGCTGGTTGCTGGTTGCTATGGAGAGTTGGAGAGGTGGAGAGTTGGAGTTGGAGAGTTGGAGACGGGGCGCTCAGTGGACCTGGATGGATAGAGAAGATCGCGGGGTTGGGTATCGCGGGGCAGTTAGATGGCTATTCTCGGGGAAGATGGCTAGAATAGACAGAGACAGAGACATCAGCAATACAGAGATAGACAGACATATGCACCGTTATCATGTGTGTCGTGAGAGGCTTTCGAGACCCCAACTGCCCAGGCCTGCATGCAGCCATTGGCTTGGATCCACCGCGAGTCTCCGAGTCTCCGAGTCGGCTGAATCCCCACAAAGCTTCTTTGATAGATAACGGCCCACAGCTATTCACGACCATCCACAACTAGAACTATTCACACCTACGTCAATCTATAGGCCACAGCATCTCCCAACACCTCCAGCATCTCCACCACACCAGCATGCCCCCGCCCCCCACCCATCTCCACACCCACACGCACACCTAACCAGTCAAAATGTCACTCCTACAACACCAAGAGTACCCCCCCCCGCCCCCCCCCCCCTTCACAGCACCCCGCTAACAGCCCAGCTTCGTCCTCTACCGCATCCGCAACCGCTACCTCCACTCCATGAAAGACGGCGTCGGCGAGCGCCTCATCAGCATCAACCCCACGGCCCTCACCATCCCCGCCTTCAAGAACGCCGGCTGGGGCTCGCCCACGGAGATCCGCCGCACGTACTCGCCGCCCATACCTGTCGGCGCCGAGACGGAGTATTTTGCGCTGCGCGAGGCGGGCGTTGCCGTTGCCGTTGGTGGTGGTGGTGGTGGGGGGGCGAACGGAGCGGGGGGCGGCGGCGGGGCGCAGAATGGGAGTCCGCCGCTGTTTGAGGTGCTGATGAGTGGGAGTGCGGGCGGCAGGGAGCGCAGGAGGGCGAGGGAGAGGGAGAGGGAGAGGGAGAGGGAGGCGCATACGCATCGCGAGGTGGATGATAGTAGTGTTAGCGAGGAGAGCGAGGAGGAGGAGGGGGGCACGGCGTATGTATTTGGCGGATATCATTGCCCCTTCCCCGGGGGAGGGGCCTTTGCGTAGATGGGGACTGGGCAATCCTCGTCAGATAATGGCGAATCTGGGCTGGCCTCTTCTGCGCAAAGGCCCTCTCTCTCTCTCTCTCTCTCTCTCTCTGCAAGTATGGCGCGGTGTAGACTAATATATATACATGTTCCAGCCCCAGCACACGCATCCAATTCGACTTCCCCAAGAAAGAGATCGCCCCACGCCCGCGCTCGGGCAGCTCCCCCATCCGCTCCGGCCCCCAAGTCCTCGTCACCTCCCCCTCCAAATCGCGCACCCGCCGGCTGCGCGGCGGCTCCCACGGCGACGTCGACTTCGTCAAGAGCACGCTGCACACCTCCAACATCGACCGCCTCCCCGACGCCGACGAGGAGCTGCTCAGCAGCGGCATCATCTCCGCCGAGAAGCTGCACGCCCGCATCACGGACCGCCTGCGCTCGTCGCCCAACTCGTCGCTGCCGCGCGACGACGGCTTCGAGAGCCCCGACGACAGCGACGACACGGCGAGCATCTCCTCCGACTTCCCGGAGACGGCAGACTCGAACCCCGCGGTGCTCGGCGGCATGGGCATGGGCATGGGCATGGGCATGGGCATGGGCATGGGCATGGGCATGGGCATGGGCATGGGCATGGGCATGGGCATGGGCATGGGCATGGCCGGGTCGTCGTCGCTGAGCACGGCGATGCGGCGCCTGCCGCCGCAGCTGCAGCTGCACCACGACGCGGCGGTCCTGCACGCGCTGCCGCCGCCCATCCGGCCCGTGTCGCAGCTGCAGCCCGTGTCGGCGCTCACGCAGCTGCTTGCGGCCAAGAGCCGCGAGGCCGAGAACCCGCTCGAGAGCTACCGGCTGTTTAGCGGCAAGGGCGAGCTCACGCCGATCACGCTGCACCTGTACATCCCGTACTCGCGCAGCAAGGCGCCGATCGACGTGATCCTGAACCGGCTGCCGAAGCAGCGCGATGGCCAGAACGGCCGCGGCGAGACGACGGTCGCGGAGGCGATCGGCTTCACGCTGTACAAGTACATTGAGGACAAGCGCGAGCCGGCGCTGACGGAGGAGCTGGGCGATATCAACATGTGGACGTTCCGCATGGTGGATGATGGCGAGCCGGACGAGGACTTTCCGCCGCTGGAGCGCACGCAGCCCGTCACGGCGTACATTGTGAAGAAGACGGGGCGCGGCGGGCGCGGCGCGCGCGACATGAAGATGGAGGGCGAGTTCGCGATGGTGCAGGCCACGCCCGAGCAGTATGTCGAGAACTGCCGGGCGACGCCCACCGAGCGGCGGCGGAAGCCCTCGACCACGATCACCGCCGCCTCCATCGCCGTGTCCACCGCAGCCAGCGCCCCGCCCGGCGGCGTCCCCGCGGCCCCCGCGACCCCCAGCACCCCGACTTCAACGACCATCGGCCTCGCCGCGACCACCGACCACGCCACGCCCGCCACAAAGACCGGCCCCAGCAAGATCATCCGCATCCACATCAGCACCATCGACGAGTTCGCGCAGTCCGTCTCCGTGTGCGTCACCAGCGACACCTTCATCGCAGAGGTCCTCGACCAGGTCTGCCGCAAGAAGCACCTCGACAAGTCAAAGTACATCCTGCGCCTCACGGGCCACCCGAACGTCATCTGGCCGCTCGAGCGCACGGTTGCCGCGCTGGGCGACCGCGCGGAGCTGGACCTGGTGAAGAAGAAGATGCTGCCGGTGCCGGCGGTGGCGTCCATACCGCTGCAGACACAGGCCCCGGCACCGGTCCAGCAGGAGGAGGAGGAGAGCGGTAGGAGGATGCGGTATCTGCAGCCCTCGGCGGCATGGGCGCCGGATATGCTAGGCAGCCGTGACTACCTGGTCTGTCCCCCGCCCCCCCCCCCCCCCAAACTAACACACCCCCCCGCAGACTAACAGAGCGCTAGAAATACACCGTGTGGCGCAAAGCCGGCATGTCGTTCATGTCGCGGCACGAGCGCATCCTGGCCATCGACGGCGAGTACGTGCACATCATGCCGTCGCTCGCGCAGGACAGCAGCAAGACGACCAGCATCCACATCAGCACCATCGTCGGGTGCAAGACGTACCGCAAGCAGCCCAGCCTGTTCAAGATTGTGGTGCTGCGGCCGCAGCGCGAGATGAAGCGGTACGACTTTGAGGCGGTGAGCGCGGAGCAGGCGGTCGAGCTGGTGGCGGCGCTGCGGGAGGGGATGGGGAGGTTTGGGTTGCAGTAGGAGGGGGGCTGGGTGGGTGTTTATGTTTTGCTGTTTTGCGGTGGGCTTGGGTTCTTGCTTGTGTGGTTCTCGCTGGGGTGGGGTTTGGCTTGTGGGAGGTATGGAGGGTGGGGGGTGGAGGAGTGTGATGGTGTGGTAACAGCTCTGCTCTGCACTGGGTGGAGTGCGGACTTGTATCTGGCCAGCTGGGCGGTGAGCTGCCGTTCTCATGTAGCTAGCTACGGTGTCTGAATGGCAGGTATTCACATGTGGCTGCAGTAACGATCTCTGCCAGCATCTCCTGGGTGAAAAAGTAGGACTGTACGTGGTGTAGTTGATTGCTTCAACGTTTGCATAGACTGCATGTATGTGGTCCGTTTTGTATCAATGTCCGACATGTGGATCATGACCTATCACTCGGTCCTGGGAAACATCGGATTGCATGTATTCAATGCCGTCCGCTTGTTAATCCGCATTAGCCGGTGCTCGAATCTTTCTTCTGATCGTGTACTGTTATTACACAGTAAAGAAAGGACCACATATCATGGGCCCACCGGAGTAGATGTCATCTGGCCGCGGCCACGGCTGCATGTTTGCGAGAAGGACAGTTGATTGGAATGTTATATATAACGTTACATGTAATTACAGCCAACATATACGCTTTGTCTTCTGTGGCAGTGCCACATCTACATATGTATACGTAGCGGACCAGCTGTCATCTTTATGGCCCCAGTATAAGACGCCTGAATCGAGCCCCTTCACAGACCTTTCCGGGATCGAAACCTACTGCCAGACAGACGTCCAGCTAGCTTCAAGACTTTCAAAATGCTCTCCTGCTCAGTCGGCCCAGTCCGCCCAATATCCATGATCACTGACCGTAACGCCGATCGGGCCGAGCTCGAGATTGTGGATATGGGGGTCCATCCCCCTACCGACAGGCCAGAAGGAAAATACTTTTTTGGAGCAGCATCCTACTTTGAGTCTGTGATCCCGTCTTCCCAATTAACTTGATGCCTTATTGCAAACCAATTAACTAATACCCTTTTACCCACAGGAAATTCCAGAGCCCGGTGATCGAGATCGTGGTTGGCGAGACGGCGCCTCGCACCTTCCGAGCACACAAGGCAATCCTCTGCAAGTCCCCCTTCTTCAACTGCGCCCTCAACGGCAGCTTCAAAGAGGCCAGAGAGAACATGGTCAAGCTCCCTGAAGACGACCCCAAGATCTTCTCGTCCATCCTCGAGTATCTGTACGGCGATGAATACTCTCCCCGGATGATTACCAGAGTCGGTGGCAGGCCCCACCCACACACGCCGTCGTCGGCATTTGCCAACATCTTTGGGCACCCTGTTCCATACCGCCTTGGCAGCGACGGGGTTATTGAGACGGGGTCGCCAGCGCGGCCAGGGTCTGCTCAGCTGCAGATGCTAAACCACACGGCGCCGGTGAGAGAGATTGAGGGCTACGACGGGACGGAGAACCCTGAGCAGCAGTGTGAGGCGGCGCTGAGGCATGCGAAGATCTACTGCTTGGCGGAGAAGTTGGGCATTGTTGGGCTGCAGACGTTGGTGCTGGAGAAGCTGAAGCTGTGTGGGCCCGTCAAGGATGTGTTGTTTGTGAGGGTGGCGGCGTACCTGGTTGAGAATGCGTCGGATGTGGATGGGCAGTTGACGGAGTTTTTGACGCCCTATATTCCCGGTATTCCGAAGCCGGCGGCCGCGGTGACGGTGACGGTGTTGGAGTAGCCGCCGACGGCACCACTATATTACTACTTGTACTTGTATGTAACAGCTGGTTTTACAGTTGTCAACTGCGGATATGTGTATTCATTATTTAGTTTACACTATGATTAAGATACAAGTACTACAAAATCGTGCTAGAACTGCTGTCTTGGTGAAATTGTGCATTTCTCATATGCTTGAGGAATAGATTGATTACAAGTAGCTTTAAGCGGTTGTGGGCGTGGGGAGTGGTGAGTCTTGTTCCCAAACCCATTCGGTATTCTGCTTGGTGGTAGTGGTGGTTGTGGTTGTGGTCGTTGATTATTCTTATCCCAGAAGGCTTAGGGTCTGGTGTGTATGTGCTTGCCCAAAATTAAAAAGATTGAACTTTGGTCAGGCTGCTATGCCAAAACACCGGTTGTCTGTCCGGAGTTTCTGCTTTTCCCCGGAAGGTATTTACACGGCTAGATCTGGCGCAGGCAGGTTGATTACTCGGAAGCCGGTATTACAGCCGTTTTCATAAAACTTGGCCGCGTCAATCTTTCACACATATATAGTGTGATCTGAAAAACCTTGAATTGATTACCTACTTGAGCAATCCGGATAGCCTTGTTTATGAAAACGGCTGTAATACGAGGACAGGTCACAAAGACTACTGTGTCCCTACTTGTAGCTCCTAGTACGTACATGTATGCCAACCGGCCCCAACGGTATATCTACATGTAATGCCATCCCCCCCCCCAAAGTTTAAACGGTATCAGTCAGATTCGTGAAGGTCTTTCTTTCCTTTACATACCTGCCGGGACTGCATAAACCTTTAAAAGGATTCTATATACATGTATATATATTATAATGGGTGGTATTGAGATATCACGGGGTATCAAAAGCTACGTATACTTATTAACGGGGTACGGGGAGCCAGAGACATCAACGTGGTATGGGTAATCATCATGATCAACTGGGAACGGGTTCGAAGAGATCTCTTCACTGGAGGGGGAGAAAAAGGGGGGGGGGGAGGGGGGCGGTCTTGGACTGGACATGCGCAAGTACGGTCCTTCAGGAGCCTGGAGGGGTAATAGAGGACAAAAGGCTACAATTAATTGGAGTAAAGTTAAAGGATCAATGGGTATATCCGCATGTACGCAAAATCAGTACTTGTAACTCGCGGTCGATCGCGAGGTAGGCCACTGCTAATATTAGCAAAATCCATCTTTACAATCCTCCCAGGTGCACTGTCCCTCCAAGCTCTGTTAGTATAGTGGTCTATATATGCACCTGGTTAGGAAATTAGATTATGACGACAGCAGGTAACTGGGTTCGATTCCCTAGCGGAGCCAATTGTTTTTTTTTTTTTTTTTTTTTTTTTTTTTCACCCTGGTTTTGTTTTGGGGTGGAGGAAAAGTAGGGAATGAACCGGACGGACGGAGCTAGCTGTAGCTGGAAGTGCATGTATTTTTGTGACTATATTTAATGGCAATTGGTCCTGTCTCGTATAGTGTACGTATTCAAGTTTCACCTTCGGGCTTCTCTCTCTCTCTCTCTATAACAAACAGAAATATGCTTCTTGAAGGGATCCTCCAAATATACCCTGACTAACGCGGGCCCGAATACAGCGTTATCTCCAGGGAAGTAATGTCATTACTGCTGTGTGCGCGTGGTGTAATGCTATAAGCTGTGGTAACTTTCACCGAAAACTTCAATCAAGCTACATATCCCCGTACTAATATTGGTGATTTTCAAATAAATATATACAGCTTTATATCTTCTTCACAGATTCTCACTCGTCCCAATTGCTGACATAATCCCCGCACCCCCACTCAATCAGTTACCCGGGGCGCCTCAACCCTGCAACGCTAACCCCAGTCCAAAAAACTCACCCAACCCACCCAACCCACATATTTTTTTCCAGCATCAAAAAAAAGTTCCGCCATACACTCATTTTTGCGCCGACACAGCACACACAGCTATGGCGCCCTCACAAACAATCCTCAAAACGGATTTCAAGCCGGCAAAGGTCATCCAGCCCTTCTACACGGGCGGCAAAGTCGCGCTCGACCGCAACGGGCGGATACTGGTCACGACGCTGAACGAGGATGTGCTGGTGACGGACTTTGAGACGGGCGACGAGCTGGCGAGGATCGAGGGTGTGAGTATGCGCGCCGCCGGCAGGTTTTTTTTGTGTGGTTTGTGCTGTGCTGTGTGTAACGGAGGTGCTGACTGAATGAATGGCTGTGTGAATTGTAGGACTCGGAGCAAGTCACCACGTTAGCTCGTGAGTATTACCCCATTGACCGTCAATAAAGGTATAGAAAGCTGATATAGGTGCTGTGTGATGCTGTAGTTACGCCTGACGCCTCATACCTGATCATCTGCTCTCGCTCCTACACAATGCGCATCTACTCGCTGTCCATCGACGCCGACCTTGAAAAGCTCACCGTAACACCCACTCTCCAGCGCTCCGTGAAGGCGCACACATCGCCCATCATTGTCGCCGACACGGACCCGACCGGCACGCTGCTGGCCATCGGTGCGGCGGACGGCCTCGTAAAGGTCTGGGATATCAAGGGCGGGTATGTCACCCATAATCTGCGTGGCCACGGCGGCGTCGTGTCGGCGCTGCGGTTCTATGCGCCGGAAAGTGTTGATGCGCCGACACAGGCTGCGGTGGGGCCCGCGGCAAAGAAGGGGGGCAAGAAGGGGAGGAACGATGGGGGGGAGCTGGGGTGGAGGCTGGCGACGGGCGCGGACGATACCAAGGTCCGGGTGTGGGATTTAGTGAAGAGCACTTGTGTGGCGGTGCTGGACTCGCATGTGAGTGTGGTGCGAGGACTGGACTGGTCGGCGGATGGAAAGACGCTGGTGAGTGGTAGCAGGGATAAGGTTGTGTGCGTGTGGGACACAAAGAGCTGGAAGCTCAAGGGGACCATACCGGTTCTTGAGGAGCTGGAGATGGTGGGCTTTTTGGCGCCGGGGGCGTTGAGGATTCAGGGCGAGGAGGAGGAGACCGTGGGAGATAGCATTATCTACATGGGCGGACGGAGGAATCGGATACGGCTGTGGGATCTCAGGGCCGGGAAGGAGATCACACGGAGTAGTGACGATGAAGAGGCAGACGACGACGAAGAGCGAGAAGCTGATGGAATTGTCGATATCATGTCAGTATCCATTTTACTCTACTCAGGAAGAAACGTACGCTAGCTAACCTCTGCGCAGCTACCACAAGTCACTGCCCTCTCTCATCTCCATCCACAACGACCAAACAATCCTCGTCAACTCCCTCACGCTCCCCCCCTCCACCACCACCCTCCCCGTCACCCGCCGTGTCTCGGGGCACCACGACGAAATCATAGACCTCGCATACCTCACCCCCACCGACACCCTCGTCGCCCTCGCCACAAACTCCGAAGATGTGCGCATCGTCGACCTCACCAAGGGCTTCGGCGACGTCGGCGTCCTCCGCGGCCACGGCGACATCGTCATCTGCCTCGACCGCGACTGGTCCGGTGTATGGCTGGCAACCGGTGGAAAGGACAACGAGGCCCGTCTATGGCACATTGACGGCGAGAACAGCGAGTTTACCTGCCACTCACGGTTCGTCGGGCATGCAGAGAGCATTGGCGCTATCGCGCTCTCTAGGGCTGTGCCGCAGGCCGAAAGCAACGCGGCAAAGAGCTTTGCACCGCCAAAGTTTGTGATCACAGGGAGCCAGGACCGCACGATAAAGAGGTGGGATATCCCGGCGCCAGGAAAGAAGGCAAAGGCGGTGTATACGAGGAAGGCGCACGAGAAGGATATCAACGCCATTGACGTGTCTCCGGATGACGAACTGTTTGCGTCAGCCTCGCAGGACAAGACAGTCAAGATCTGGTCGGTGCAAGAGGGCGAAGCGCTGGGTGTCCTGCGGGGCCATCGCCGCGGCGTGTGGTCTGTCAAGTTCGGGCCCGCGTCCGTGACCGGTGCCATCGTTGGCGGCGCCGAGGGCGCCAAGGGTGGCAGAATGGTGGTCACGGGAAGCGGCGACAAGACCGTGAAGCTGTGGAGCTTGACGGATTACAGCTGTCTGAAGACGTTTGAGGGCCACACAAACAGCGTGCTGAAAACTGTCTGGCTGAGCGGCGGGCTGCAGGTTGGAAGTTCCGGCGGAGACGGACTAGTCAAGGTCTGGGACGTGAAATCCGGAGAGTGCAACGCTACTCTGGATAACCACGAAGACAAAGTACGTAAAAATCACCCCAGCTCTCCGTTCCACGCAAACTAACACCCCCTGTAGGTCTGGGCCCTAACAGTCCGCAAAGACGACCATGTCCTCGTCTCCGGCGGCGGCGACTCCGTCGTTACCTTCTGGGAAGATATCTCCGAGAGCACGCGCCAAGAAGCCTCCAAGCTCGAATCCGAGCTCATCGAGCAAGAGCAGAAACTCCAAAACTACATCCACAACTCCGACTACCGCTCCGCCATCACGCTCGCCCTCGGGCTCAACCACCCCGGGCGGCTACTCTCCCTCTTTACCGCCGTCACCGCAACGTCGCCCGCCGAGCCAAATTCAATGTCCGGGCTCGCTGCTGTCGATGAGGTCCTTGCGTCGCTGGGCGATGAGCAGCTGTTTGTGCTGCTTTGCCGCGTCCGCGACTGGAACACGAATGCGAAGACGGCAAGCGTGGCGCAGAGGATTCTGTATGTGATTGTCAAGAGCTACAGCCCGCAGCGGTTGATAGAGCTGAAGGGGGCAGCGCAGGTGTGGGACGCGCTGAAGAGCTATACGGAGAGGCACTACAGAAGAGTGGAGGAGCTGGTGGAGGAGAGCTATCTTGTGGAGTATACGCTGCGGGAGATGGAGGACGTATTTGGAGATGATGGAGTTAGGGGCGATGAGATTATGGTTATGTAGCTAGGAGGTAGGGGTGCTTTAGAACTGTAAAATTAGTGAAATGTATCATAATAGTGATGAACGGAATAAAAGTTATTGGCTTTGGGGCATTAATAATGTTGACCATCCTACCACAAGTGATCAGCGATATTCTATT